CCCCCCACGACGCTGAGATCCGGAAGGACGTGCAGGTGAGAGCTGTAGGGCCTGGAATGGCCCAAGTGGAGCCTAGGCTAATGGAAGTCTGGCCTGGCCCGCGCCCTGTCCTCCCGGACTCCTAGAGTCGGGGTAGGGCAGGGTCTAGGCTTGGACCTTTGCAGGGAACTGAGGTCCGCCAAGTGGAGGTGGAGGTGGTGATGGAGCCCTCGCGCTGCAGTCACAGTTCTTTTTGTTCTTCCCTATTCCTCACTCCACTGTGGGACGCTGGGTCAGACCTACTACGGGCAGGTGCTGAAGAAATCGGCAGACCTCCAGACCAACGCCTGTGTCACCACAGCCAGGCCGGTCCCCAAGCACATCCGGGAAGCCTTGCAAAATGTACATGAAGAAGTAGCCCTAAGGTAGAGTGTCCCGTGCTGTCCCCAGGAAGACCCCAAACTGCAGTTTTCCCAAAAGATAATGATGCAGGTCACTAGGGAGTTAACCCGTAGCCACCAACCCATCAGCTTGCTTTGTCTATTGTAAAAATCCTAAATCTCAGCACCCATCATCTTACTGCTCTAAGAACCTCCGATGAATCTGGGTGCGCCGGTGAGCCTGTAGTCCCAAGTGCTTGGGAGGCTGAGGCAGAGGATCGCGTGAGTCCAGAAGTTACAGGCTGCAGTGTGTGATCCGGGATGTGAATAGCCACTGCACTCCAGCCTGGTCAACACAGTCAGATACATCTGTAAAATAAATGCATACTTTTAAAACATTGCCAAAAAAAAAAAAGAAAAAAGAAAAGAAAAAAAAGAAGCAGCAGCTCCAATGTGAACACTCCATAGTCCCTACCCAAGCTCAGAGAATAGTCACACTCACTGGATCTGCCATTCAAGATATGCGCAGTTCGGCCCTCCCTAATCAACCTTGGCCCTTCTGAACCTTTCCTTCCTCACTCCATCAGCACTCCTGTCCAGCGGGCAGTCACCAATTTGGAAAGCCTTCCCTCTTCTTTCTCCTTCCAAACCCTGCCCATCCAGCACCACCCTACTGTCCCACCTACTGCATGGAGCCTTCTCTAATCTTTGAGCGGCCTCTTCCCCAAACTGCCACAGCACTCTGTCACTCGGTCTGTCCGTAAATCATGGGAAGTGTTTTCTGTGTACAATGTTTTACCTCGCCTCTTAAATACACCTACGGGGCGGGAGGCTGTGG